CTATACCGCCTTCAACTTTTATGAACGACTGGGTGTTTAAGGTTAGGGATTTGTCGTATTATATGGCTTTGTAGCAAATAAAAAAAATACAATTACTTTACTATGCAAGTAAAAAATGCGTGTTTAATATTTATCTTTTTTTTATTTAGGGCCCCTTTATAACATATGCTGCAGGCCCCGTAGTAGGCCAACTGTTGGTTCTCAACCCCATTGTCCGCTACTGGTTGTTGAATTTTATTTCAACCGAGTAACACACTCGCTTGCCTGACCCAACATCGCCCTTCGAAATAAATGTACGAATAACGAACGTCAATATCTTAACCCAATAGGCAATTTTGTGAGGTTATCCTACCTAGCTGGTATCTGCAAGCGAATATAAAACAAATATGTCAATGGGTGCCTCTGTGTGCTTGACGTTATTGGCTCGCACTCGGTGGTTACTCTTGGAAACCCGCATTGTTCACGGTGAGTGAGTGCGTTGTTCTAGGTTACCGCGTGGATTTGCATTTCATCGTTGCTATTTTTTATTGGCGCTTTCATACTCGAGTATTCACCTATGACTCTCGTGTGTCATGTAATTTCACACATTTATACATCACCTCAGGTACCCCCCAGGGGTTCGCGTACCCTCGAGTTGGGAACTGCTGGGGTTAGTGTTGTCTCGGTTGTCTGTGCGAACTTTCATGGCGAATAAAACCCTTTCTGATTCTGATTCTAAACTTCTTTCGCACCAACGTACATAGCCAACCGTGCTAATCGGAGGTGCTGGGGGAGGGGGGGTAACGACAAAAAAATAAATAGAAAAACAACAACAACAACAACGGAGTTTGCATGGGCGATGGGGGCGGCGTTGGCCGTGAAATATTTTTTTCCCCATTCAAGAAAAACAAGTCAAAAACGATTTCCTGCTGAAATGAGCATTTGCCGCGGCGCTCATCTCCTGCTTACAGCTCTGAGGCAGTCACGTCCTCCTGTAGACCCGGCGAGTTAGTTAACATCTCGCAACCATGGCGCAGCACTTACATTTCGTTCCTTAACTTTGCACTCCGTCTTTGTTCTTGGACGGGACCCCACTGTATTTCCCTCGGTCAGAGAGCTGGACAAAAAAAAGGCCACATTCCATAGACGCAATCTCCATTAAATTTGATTTAAAGCTTTCGTGACTGCAGGAATTCATATTCTTGGTTCTTTCGGTAAAGTCACGTAGAAGGGAAATAGTAAAATAAAAAAAATTCTCACGACGTTTCGACTGCAACACCAGCAATCATCATCACCTGATGAGAATTTGTTGTTTTCTTTTATTATTTATTATTTTCCTTCTACGTGACTTTACCGAAAGAAACAAGAATATCAATCTCCATTGTTTCCTTTGAGAAAGTGAATCTTTTTTGTTCAGTTTTAACATACACACACACACACTTTGCAGGGGTAGCTATAGACATGCAGTTGACTTCACCTTGTCACGACACGCATCACTGTGCATCGCCACTGTTCGAAGGGAGAGAAGCAATGTTTGCTCAAAGTCGATGCACACACCTGGGCCCCCCAAAACGTATAGGCTGCTGCCTTCAGCCCCCCATCTCATCTGCCCCGGCTCTCTGCCACAGCGTGCGAACGGCACGCCTCGGAACTGCCGTGCACCGAGAGAGAAATTAATTTGAGTTTAACGCGTAGGCTTTCGCGACCAATATTATTCATAATAAGGGTTTTGGGGTTGGGTTCAGTGATGTCGCCTTGCTCTATTTAAGACCGAGAGCAGGTGGATTGCTTCACTATTCTGGTAAATCGCCCGATGATGCTGATGTAATTACCAGCGTAACTTCGTACTCAAATTGTAAATGTCGTGGATTTACTCTCCAACACACCGGTGGGCTGAAGTAGTAACTAATTGGCGTTTTCTTTACGTGACAAATCCCTTACTAATTGGCTGTGTCGGATGGTGGAGGGTTACGACGCATTTATATTTACGCAATCTCACCCAAAAACCTTTATTATGAAGAAAGGAATTTACAGTTTTTGGTGATGCCGCTGCGGCTGCTGCTGTTGCTGCAGCCCACGAGCAGAATGAACGACAATGACGACAAGAAAAGGCTCGGCACGTTTTGTCAATAACATCACTGTGGCCTTAAAAGGGGAAAAAATATCACATATAATAGGTGATGTGCCAGGCAATTGGTTCTTTCTTGCACAGTACATACGTGAAAATGCACCTGAGAAAATTTAGAAGATGTGCTGGGTTGGTCAATCGCGACGTAAATGTACAGCCTTTGTATCAATCCACTGCTGGATGAAGGCCTCCTCCCCACGCCATGCTGGAGTTGTGGGGGTTATTGTTTGACCATATCATGGGACCTCCTTTGCCAGGATGAAAATATGATAATATGTTTTCCCCTACTGTTAACATTCCTTCCCTTTATTAATGCTTCCCCCTATCCCCTCCCTTTGATGCTGCTGGTCCTGCATAAGTGCACGGGCAAAACATGACTTTAAACCCCCCGCCAAACCTCCTACCATTTCACAAGTAGTACTAGTCGCATATCTGCATTTCCCATAAATATGCTAAAATTCCTCTTGATATGCAAATTATTTTATCAAGGCGCTCTTCCTCCTCCCTCCCAGCTTAAATAGACGCTCCAAGCCCAGGACGTGTCATTCAGACTCTGTCTTATCGACAGACCTGTTCTTCACCTGAGGACGGCTGCTTGCGTTGTGGCCGAAACGTCGTGAGAATTATTTTACTATGTTTTATTTTTATTGTTTTATTAGTTTCCATTCTACGTGACTTTACCGAAAGAACCAAGAAGAGGTTTTCCCCTTTTTTGTTTGACCATACTTTCACCGTGCCTGGTCACGTGTGCGGGAGCATAGAAGTAGGTTGCGGTACAGCGATGGACGTTGCTTCACTGCCTTCCGCTGTCCGCAACGTACCCCCTGCCAGCGCTGCGCGTGGCTGCTGCCCATCCGAGGGCTGTCCGAGCTCAACCCCCGCTTAGCGTCCAGATCTGTCGGCGCGTGCGGCGGGCGATTTGGTCGGAGGCATTGGTTCCGCTGCGAGGCAGCGGAGGCATTGGGGAGTGATCGCTCGTCCTGGTGTACGCTAACCGCACGCAGCACAGTTAGTGCTGCTGTTCTGTAGCGTCGGGGGAGGGGGGTGGCCTCGTGCCCGCCATTCTAAATTCTTGTCAAGTCCAAACATGTTAACATCTAAGCGACGGGTGTCGCAACCTTGCCGCCTCAAACACAGGGGTTGAGAGCCAGAGAAGAATGCACGGTAGACGAAATTAAATGGCTAATTACTCGTTCTGTTCAGCGTTAAAAATGTGTTTAGGGTTTGGTAAATATGAACTGTGACATTGGCCCCCCATCAGTTTCTGTAAGCACCCCCCTCCATCTCCCCCCCCGGCCGCCCCCTCCCGTCGCTTTTCAAGAGGTCATCCTACAGGGTTCAAGTCTCAATTTTGTATAACCAGGTGTGAGACCTCTGCAGACCAGGATAGAGTCTCAATTTGCAAGAGTGACCTGGGGTCACTGAAATGTCAAATAGCAATTAAACATAAACATCGAATTGCAGCGATTGTTGAATTTGAGACGCAAGCAGTGACAGTGCCCGGACATAATCAACATTCCTTCAATGCATTTACACTTAAAAAAAAACACTGGCTTGGACAATTTGTTTTTATTCCACATCCTCCCTCACATCTTTCATTTTTGGGTATAGATGAACATTCTGACGTTCCCGGCGGGTAGTTCACGAGGCACCGATGATTTCAGGCAAAAGTTTCACACCGAACTCATCAAAGCAGTTCATGGTGGGGGGAGGTGGAATTTTATTTGGGGGAGGGTGGTGACATGTTATTGCCGTTCTGGGCTCAGGTGTCTAAGACAGGTCTAAGGCTCAGTTGTTTAAGACTGGTCTAAGGCTCAGTTGTTTAAGACTGGTCTAAGGTTCAGGTGTTTAAGACAGGTCTAAGGTTCAGGTGTCTAAGACAGGTCTAAGGCTCAGGTGTTTTAAGACTGGTCTAAGGTTCAGGTGTTTAAGACTGGTCTAAGGTTCAGGTGTTTAAGACTGGACTAAGGCTCAGGTGTTTAAGACTGGACTAAGGTTCAGGTGTTTAAGACTGGACTAAGGCTCAGGTGTTTAAGACTGGTCTAAGGTTCAGGTTTTTAAGACTGGACTAAGGCTCAGGTGTTTAAGACTGGACTAAGGTTCAGGTGTTTAAGACTGGTCTAAGGTTCAGGTGTTTAAGACTGGACTAAGCCTCAGGTGTTTAAGATTGGACTAAGGTTCAGGTGTTTAAGACTGGACTAAGGCTCAGGTGTTTAAGACTGGTCTAAGGTTCAGGTGTTTAAGACTGGACTAAGGCTCAGGTGTTTAAGACTGGACTAAGGTTCAGGTGTTTAAGACTGGTCTAAGGTTCAGGTGTTTAAGACTGGTCTAAGGTTCAGGTGTTTAAGACTGGCCTAAGGTTCAGGTGTTTAAGACTGGCCTAAGGTTCAGGTATTTAAAGACTGGTCTAAGGTTCAGGTATTTAAGACTGGTCTAAGGTTCAGGTGTTTAAGACTGGACTAAGGCTCAGGTGTTTAAGACTGGACTAAGGTTCAGGTGTTTAAGACTGGTCTAAGGTTCAGGTGTTTAAGACTGGTCTAAGGTTCAGGTGTTTAAGACTGGCCTAAGGTTCAGGTATTTTAAGACTGGTCTAAGGCTTAGGAATGGACCCCCATGTTCGTGTTGTATTCGTCTTCCTTGTCTCCGAGCTTATCGCTCACATGCTCCAGGGCCAAGATTGGTCCGAATGAAGTCATCCATTGATACAACAACAGCAACAACAACAAAAAACCCCATCCCAAGAGTAACATTTCCACCGACAGAAACATCGACATGGGCCGAGGGAGATTCTTGTGACCGGCGCGCAAAACCGACAAGGGACGTGGCGGAGGTCATTGCCGCGGCGACGACCTCCTCCGTTGACCTCTTTGCCTCCTCTCCTCGGCCTGCCCAGGGCTTCGAGCGGCTGCGCTCCGAGGGTCACCTGTGCGACGTGACGCTGCTGCCAGGAGACGGAGACGAGGCTTTTCCCGTGCACAGGGCCATGATGGCCTCCGCCAGTGACTACTTCAAGGCCATGTTCACAGGTGAGGTCATCGTCGACATCGTCGCCATTTGTCGCCATCATCATCATCATCGCCACCATTGTCGTTATTGCCATCCTCATTGTTCGTCATCATCTTATTTATTTATTTAAAACAAAAATACGACATTTCTAGACCGGCCTCGCGGTTTTGGCACTCATCAGCAAGCCGACTACACTGTCGCCAAAGTGAGTAACAGCTGCATGCTACGGGCCAGAGAGAGAGAAAGAGAGCAAGAGATCCCCGTAGGTCCAGGAGTAATTATTTTAGCACGAGCCTTTTGCCCGTCCAAGGACGTGTGTATTGCAGTAAATCTGAAACTTGCAAGCGAAAAGCAGACTGCGACGTGATAATGATTGCATCAATTCGTGTGCAATTTGTAAGGGCGCGGTGACACAGACCTATTTCATGTAAAGGTTATAATCCCTTGTTCATCATGACGTCCTTTTTACTTCGATGTCTCAATAGCGGAGATCACGTGACGTGAGGGTTCTGCCTTTGTAGTGACGGTTGTAAGTTGACGCCAAGGAGGGGGGAGGAGGCGCCTCGCCCTCCCATGTGGAGTGACGTCACCCGCTAATTATTATGAATGGGGGTAGGGGGTCCATTTGGAAGACGTAACCTCTTCGTCATTATTAATGACGGGGGGCTGTTCGATGTGGAGTGACGTCACCCGCTCATGATTATTCATGAAGGGGGGGGTCAATGTAGAGGACGTAACCTGTTCATGATTATTAATGAGGGGGGGCTGGCCGACGTAGAGTGACGTCACGCGCGTGACACACAAACAGACATTCTTGGCTAATTATAGTAGTAATATGAATATTGAACTCATTTCGCAACGTACGTAGCCAACCGCGCTAATCGCAAGAGCGCTGTGGGGGGTGGCGTGGAATTGGGAGGGGTTAGAATAACAAACTAAACTCTGTACGGCCGTGTACACCTTGCTCAGTAGCGATCTAATTGGCTTGAGCAGCGTCCACGTGCACGCGTTGAACACTCACACAGGCAACAGCAATGGCAGAACGCAGTCCACGCAGCAAGCACTGGCACGGTGGGACCCAGCCCTCGGTGCATCATTATCGCGGCTTTGGAAGCTCACGTAATTGTCAATCATCCTACCCGCTAGCGTCGTCAGCTGACACTGGCTTTAGAAACCCAGGAGGGCAGATCTTGCTGCCTCGATACCAGGGGTCCCCAATTCCCGGGCCATGGACCGATACTGGTCCGAAACCCGATGAGAGGGGAGTGGGGGAAGAGAAACGTGCTCCTCTTTCGCACGTTTCCAAATCAGATCTATCGCTCAACATTCGTGAACGGGGAATGGGGGTGGAGTGGCCCGCCAAACCCCCCCAAGCCAACAGCATACAAAGGAATGGGGCTCACAGTACAATGGCAACGAAGCGTAATTTCGCTTATCTGAGGCCCTGTCACCCGCGTGTCTTGTGACCCGCGGATAAGAGGAGTGAACCGGAAATCATGACGAATGACCACCGTGCTGAAACATGGTGGAAAAAAAAAACCTTTGGGGCCGTTCATAAATGACGTCACGCACCTGGGGGGGGGGGGGGGGGTCAGACATTTGTGACGATGTGTGACGAGGGGGGGTGGGGGGTTTGAGAAATGTGACGTCACATCAAAATGCGCAACTTTAAATAAATGTAGACAAAACGTTCTACTTGATTAAATAGACTTTTTAATAAATGTTTTCTCCTACAACATCAGAGTGCAGCGCCACATTAAATACGCACTAAAATGACAATAGTATAAAGCAGCGGTCGGGAACCTATGGCTCGCGAGCCATATATGGCTCTTCCAGTGACGGCATATGGCTCCCAGACAATTTTGAGTTGAAAAAATAAAAAAAATCAGTTTGGAACTGATTTTAAAATACTTGTGATATTGCTAAATAATATTTGTGTAATTTTAAAGTTAACAGAAATTAGTTTTGAAGATACATTTCACGGGTCACGCCTGCACGAAGCTCAACCTCACCACGTCGTATGAACTACAAGGCCATCAGCAAAACCATGCAACACCAGAAGTCGCATTAAAAGTAAGCCATATTTAATTTATTATACGTTAAAAATACTATATGGCTCTCAATGAAATATATTTAGAAATATTTGGCTTTTATGGCTCTCCCAGTCAAAAAAGGTTCCCGACCCCTGGTATAAAGCGATTTGAAGCATGTTTTGTGAAGTCATTTTATGGGGGGTCTGACTTTTTGTGATGCCATGTGACGACGGGGGGCCCTTTGACCAACACGGTGTGGCGAGGCCTTCATACATTGGTCGGCCGAAAATGCTTAGTGATTATTATTGTAAAGATTATTATTGTTCACGTTTGTCCACAGGTAAGCCACCTGTAAGCGCTAAATTCATCCGATTATCCGCGTCACTTCGCAACTAAACGGAGTGAGTCCAGGGTGGATATATCACGAGTCAGTTTTTCCAAAGATTACGGATAATGGCTATCCTCCAATAGAGTCAAACTGTCAGACATCACGTCGGATACGAAACGAATACGACGGAGTTTCACTTGCACAGTGAAACACACCTCCCGATTAGCACGGTTGGCTACGTACGGTGCGAAAGAAGTTTAAACAAACACAAATATCCCCCGTGAAGTCTTAAAAGATTGTTGGGAGCAAGTGCTGTTAGCGAGCACCTATAAAGGCCAGCACAGCACACGCGGGGGTGGGTGGCCAGCACCACGCCCGGCCGCCTTTGTCTCCCCAGTGGCGATGTTTACACACCGCACCAGGTACTTATTTCAGGCTGAGTCGACCTAGGGGAGCACACGACCGGTTCAGATAATCGTCACCGGTGTTGGCCGCGAGCGGGAATCGAACTCGAGTCGCCGGGTTCGTAGCGCAGCGTAGCGCTAACCGCCCCCCATGAAACGCACCTCCGGTTAGCACGGTGGGGCTACGTACGGCGCGAACGAAGTTCGGCACACACATACACACACACACGTACGTACACCGAGAGCTCTCGCGCACGTGAGTAATTTTTAACGATTCACGTCGCCAGCAGAGGAGAAAGCTGCGCAAGTTGTCTGGCCAAGGTGACTGCTTTGCTCTGCCACTAATCTCACTGCTCCCACGCATGCCGGAGTTCTACTCGTGCCGTTGCTTTCGTCGTTTTTGTTGTCGTTGTTGTTGTTGTGTTCTCTTTGTTTTCTTATCGCGTGACTCGGCCGGACAGCGGCGAGGAGCGCTTGATGAAATGAACACTGCATCTGTAAGCCCTTCGGAGGCTAACCTGGGCAGACGGGAGTTTCCACGAGAGAAGACATTTCACGTGGGGTTAAGGCCACATCGCCTGGAGGCCTTGATTTCACCGGTCTCTCTTTTCGCTGAGAGTCTGTTGCAGCGTTCAGATCGATACCGCCCCGCCGGATAACCCCGACACCACCACCGCCCCCCTCCCGGCACGCACCACGATGCCGTTTCACCAGGGTACACACCACGTGGCACGGCACGATCCAGACAGACGATCAGCTTCTCGAGGCACCGCGGTGCCAAAAAGTTATAATCAAACAATCTACGCAACAACAACAAAAACAAAACCCACCACACACAAACACCGCAATCAATGACCTTAGCTCGCGCGAAACGGGAAGGGGAAAAAAATAGTTTTCCCTGAAAGTACGACTCGATCGCTTCGATTCAGAAATCCGACGGATTTTTGTTGTTGTTGTTGTAAAACCCACTCCCTCCGCCACTACTACCACCACCACATTATAATGTTTGTTTGTGAGTCGATATTCCCTGAATCATTGCAACCGGCGCGTCGCGTTCCACCTCCGCCCCGCGTACGAAGCACAAGAGCACCGCCATACAGCCCCAGCCAGGCGCTAATCGGGGCAGCATTACATAAGCGGGCGTTTTGAGTGGCACGGGGGTGAACGCGTCTCGCCGATTTGGTGGTGGAGGGCGAAAATAGCGGAGGGGAAATGAAAATGCGCACGCGTCGGTAAAAGTAAAGTGCTTTTTGTTTGCGAATCTTAACACATTCAAGCGGTGCTGTATAATTATTCTGCACCATCTCTAGATGGCATGTCCGCTCATCCGTAACCGGTGCCAGGCATATGTAAGGCTTTAACCCCGTGGGCTGTGGACTAAAATGACAATTTGTATATAAACCCCTTCATGCAACCGCCTTGCGAACCAAATCGGCCAGAATGCGTCCGATCTCGGAAGCTGAGCGGAGTTAGGCCTGGATAATTGCTTGGATGGGCAACAGCCAGGCATAGCAGCTTTCATAGGCTGTGGGGCTACAACATCGGACGCCAGGTGGTAGCCCACAGAAAGCAGAAGACGTCTCTGTAAGTGGAGGTGTGCTTTAAAAGAAGCACGTTGCAGCGGCGAATTTAAATGCACGAGTTAAACGTAATAGCAGCGAGGGTTTCTCGAGTGATTACGAATTAATATGCAGAGTGAAACATCACAAGTGGCAAATGTAAGAGAAAAAAGCATGTTCCCTCGCAACATATTGAAAGGTAGTTGAAGGTAGAGGCGCAGCCCTGCAATTGCTCTCTCTAGCCACCGTCGGTAGACAGGATCTCAATTCGAGACACTTTTAGGGAGCCCCGCCCCCCCCCCCCTCATGCGAGAGTATTTGGCCTACTCTTCCACAATTGGCCAGACGTGAGAAGTGGAGTTACCCACACTTTGCCCCACTATACGCAAGTGCTGTAGCCATTTACACTGCTGGGGTGGACAGAAGTTAGGGGGGGGGGGGGGGGTTTAAGAAACTTGCCCCTCCTCCCCCCCCCCCATCGTTTCAACCTGCAGCACCGGGAGAAGAAATCGAACCGGCGGCCACTCATGCGTAGATCGCAAGGTCCAGCGCTGCGTGCGAACGGTGGCACCGTCACACTCGGAAGCAGCAGGGCCTGGAATAAAGCAATCCTCACATCGGCAGACACCGATGCGAGGCTTGTTTTACGGTGGTGGTGGTGGAGACGTGGTGGTGGTGGTGGTGAATCATTCCAAG